AAGTATCTATTTGTTTTGGTGTTTTCTAAAAATTTTACCTTGTAAAATATTAACTAACATTTTGTAAAAAAATGTAGCCAAAAAAACGCAGTGTTTACTAACGAAGTATCAATGAAATAAAACAATTTATTTCATCACATTGTTCAAAACAATAACCACAAATTGTATCTCGAAATCGCTATAACCCTTAAAATACAACCCTACCAGGACAATCGGTTCCACTCAAGCGCGTCATTTTTTTCCGCAAATTTTAAGCTTCTCCCCCAGAATTTCACGAATCAGCCATATTTGTACAATAACTGCCCGCTCGGGAGCGACGTACAATCATCTCTTTGTCTAACGACGTCTTTCTATTGGTACGGGCGCGTGTCGTGTTTTTTCAATGGGTCTATTTGGCCCACGGGCGGCTGTTTGTACGTGTAATAACGTATGTCGATTTAGGGCTAACGTGCCTTATCCATGCTAGATTAATCACGTTAAAAGATGCTATTGCCTGTTAGATGGGTATGGATGGGCCTGTAAAATGCCCAGAAATTATGAACCTGTAGCTAAGTGGTCGAACGTGTTGCCTTACATTGCGATACACGCGAGAGGTCCTAACAAAATACTGTTTCGATCGGGCAGGGCACAGATCAACTACCTGTCTGTAAAACCGATTCTTTAATCTTAAATGACATCTTATTGGGAAATGAGTTTAAGAATAAATTAAATTTGTACAATGAATTACGTTTCGGGTAGTGCCAAAACCAAATGACACGACCAGAACTCGAACCCTAGCCTAACCTCTAAGAGAAGTGATGACAATGTTTCAACGCATACAATACGTATCGGTAGTAAGTTCGAGTCTCATTCGTTTAAAATTTTCAAAGTAATGTAATAATTCAACGTATAGCTTTCACGTGGATAAATACGATATTGATTCATCGCCTCTATTAACATTGAACATAATTGCAATGTTTAGTTGTCTGTTGAACTAAACAACGCGTCGTGTACGGCACGACATGGGTGGATAAAATATAAAAGTCATAAAAATGTATGAGATGCAGCCGCCGTTCCGACTAACGAGACTGTTTCGTTCCGCCAATTATTCCGCGCCAACGATAATTTTGACAAATCACTACCTTTCTTCTAGAGGTAACGATCAATAACTAGAGACGAGATATGCCCGCCCAAAGATCTTATAAATTAAACACTGTCTGTAGTTTACGCGAATAGTACACATTTAAATAAAACACTTTAACGGCTTAAAAAGCGATATATATTTGTCTCCCGATGATTACCGTTGCAGCAAAGAATCGTTGGGTGGTTAAAATAAATCTCCAATAAGTTTAACTAATATACTATCATACTATCACTATCTACATAGCTGCTGGTAGGTCTAATGATAGAAATGTACGGCTAATAATCAACAGGTCGTGGATTCGATCCCCAAAGTGTCCAGTGTGAGCCTTATCTATGTATAATTTTTCTGAAACATGTTAAACGTCGTCAAGATCTGGATATGAAATGGGTGATAGGATTATAGAAAATTATGACCGGGTCACGAACCACCACTCCACCACGTCCACAGATGAAAAAGCGGTGGAGTTAACCGCTATTCTATTTCAGAAAGTGGATTTCCGAATATCCAAAGCAAAATAGCTTGACAGCGCATCTGGTTCAGATGTTATGTGGCTGGGGTATTTCGCCTACAAGAGAAACCCACGCTTATCTGTCCTCCTCTATGACCATACCACGTACATGTGATGTAGTTGAAAATAAATGAACTAACTAATACATCGCTACTATATATCTATATACTATATATAAATCTACTAATATATCGCGTTTTAAACCGTTAAAGTGTTTTATTTAAATGTGTACTACTCGCGTAAACTATAGACAGTATTTAATAGATGAACTACTAAATTTCACCTTTTTACATCGTCAAAAGTGTTTCATCAATTCGGTTTGTCTTCTATACAGACAAAACTACATTATCTGTCACCAGAAATCGTTACCTACGTCCGCAACCATTGTTTTTTATTCAACAATCGTCGACATCGTTAAAAACGCATTACAGATTTTTAATATCTGTCAACAAATTAAAAAAACAATTATCGTATTAGCTATAGAGATTAACAATCACACTTAATTAGACACTTATCAACGTAACGATGTTTATAATTATAATCATTTGTAAAGCTCAGATTATTAATTTATTTATTTCAAAAAGGCTTAACCTTATACATAGTAAAAAAAATAACTTTATATAATTTGTATGTCAATTATGTATTCAAATGAAAGGCAAGTAATGCAGTGCAATATGAAATTAGATACAGAATATATAAAAGAAAACTTTAGTGCGTTAAATTTAACCTGAATAGGGTTGAGTTATGGGTATCTTATAACAGTTATATTGTAATGTGTTTTTTCATGTAAATACAATAAATAACAACAATATCAATTAAATAAAACACTTTAACGGTTTAAAACGCGATATATTATAAAGAAGTTAAAAATCATTTTCAAATAAGTTTAACTAATATATCGCGTTTTAAAACGTTAGTGTTTCTTTTAATCAACAATATTATAAAGGGCAAAGGCGTTTAAGATTTTTTTTATTTGGCTACTTAATTATCTCATAGCCTTTATTAAGAAACAAAGAAGTCCCACGACAGAACTCTTTATTATAATATATATCTTTACTATTATATTCTCGGATAAACCACAGTTTCAAGCATCCATACTATATTGTTCCGCTATAGCAATAATTCTTTGTTTTGTGTAGAGATGGCATTCATCTCAGTTGCAGTAGTACTTATTTTATTTAGTAGACCTAGAATTCATTTAACCTCTAATTTCAGTGTTACATTAGTAAAAGTAGGCGATGAATAGATTTAATAAAAAATCTAAGATACAAACTGTATTACCGTAGATACAATCTATGGTTCGGGAATCCCCTTCTGCTATGTTTTTGACTTTAGCCCATTTCTTAAAACTTCTAGTCGTTGCGTCATCATTTTAGCTCTAAAAGCGAATTCTGGTTCAATGGTTTTGAATATATTTTTATTTTTTACATTATCTTAACTTAACCACTCACACCGAGTATACATGAATTGGTGACACTACGTCTTCGATGTCTAGTTTTTTTTTTATACAACATTTTAATACTCCATTAGCCGTAACCGTTCTAATGACGTTATTAAACAAAGCTCTTCTTTTCATTGTTGGTAACGAATAACGATTAGTCCCTCAGTAAGTTTCGTTGAGCATGTGCGCTTGAGTGGTTGCGATAGTGTTTTTGTTTCCACCACTTTATTAAGGTTAGTAAGATATACATTTTAAGGTAGGCTATTCTAAACAAAAATAGTTTTGTACATAAATTGTGTGAATTATAATTTTGTACCTGAAACTACGTCTTAATATCGCACTATCGTGTCCATTGTTTTGCCTTCTCAGAACGTCTCGTCTCCACTTACATTTCAACTTTGTTTAAGTTGAATTTAGAGTGTATATTTGTGAATACTTTGTACAGGTGAACATAGATGTGTTGTTTTTAGACATTCAAGTACTTAATTCTTGCCTAATTTTCGTATGACGATTCTCGTCCATCTAACATTTTAAAAATTAATAAGCAAAAGCGGTTTTCGAGATTTGCACTCAGCAACACATTCAAGTCTTAATAGTTTACCAATCGAATACTTAATGTATATTATATTTAAGTAAAAATTGCTCTTTCAAAACTAAAATGTTAAAGGCTTTCCTTGAAAACTTTATTATTTTTTACATGTTATTGCATATGAGTGCACTAAGTATGTATATAATTTAAAAATCGAAAACAGATTGAAAAAAATTTCGACTCGGTACTTGAAACACATACAATTGTCGATTATGCGTCTTTGTGTTGTGCTGAATATGGTATACACCGGAACTGAACTTGAAAATAATTATATATATGCGTAAGAGATAGTGTATAATATAATAAGTTTCCTTTAATATCGTTGAAAACAAACTAACATACATTTTATTATTTAGCAATTTAATTACTGCAAAATTATAATAGGATATACTTTTTTTCAATTTTTAAGGAATAAAACAACTTATATATTATTTGGCTTTGATACAAATAGTTTTATGTATTTTTTTTAGTTGCATCATAATTCGGTTAAAAGATAAACAAACCCAAATCTGAACGGAACCTGCCCGTGACTAGTAAATGTAATCAAACACGTTCTAATTATGACGTTGGTAAACAAGAACCTGCTGATATACGCACATACTTACATGAAGAGTTACTTTTTATCCGAGGACATACATAAATAACATTTAACAAAATTAGTGTTTAAATGAATCGTTTGAACTTTTGAAGTACTTGACTGAATACAGTCTGTAGTTTACGCGAGTAGTACACATTTAAATAAAACACTTTAACGGTTTAAAACGCGATATATTTTATTGTGACCACGACTGCTGCAAAGCCTCCGAAACGTCAGGCCGAAGTTAAAAATCGTTTTCAAATAAGTTTAACTAATATATATCGCGTTTTAAACCGTTGTGTTTTATTTAAATATACAATTTTTTACACTAGAAGCTTATTTGAAAATCATTTTACTTCGGCCCGACGTTTCGGATGCTTCGCAGCAGCCGTGGTCAAATAAATGTTTAAACCTAAAATGCGTTTTCATTTCCCGGGGGGGTTGGGCATAATCTTTCAAATAAGTAAACTAATATATCGCGTTTTAAACCGTTAAAGTGTTTTATTTAAACAGCGATTATAGCGAAGTTTACTTTAAAAGTGGACTACAAGTCGTATTAACATAAAACAAAGATAATTTGTTGTAATCGTACCGTCATATTCCGGATAATTGTAGTGTTAAGTGTATATATGTACCTAGTCTACGTCACCCACACTTTTTAGTACTAATAAACCTTCAATGGACATAGATTTTACAAATAATCACCTTTTTTTCCACCGCGATCGGATAATAACGATTTACGCATATGATTAAACTTTGCAGATGAAAAGGTTCGCGTTCGCAGAAAGCAAGGAGCCCCCTTTTTGTGGGAAATTGTTCTATGAAATGTTCAAAAATGCTGAGTTTCTACAGGAAGAGAAGAATGTCGTTACTATTTTGTCCAAAGGGTATCAACTCAGACAGGCATTGAAAGGAGTAAGGCCTGGTGAAACCGTTTGTATGCAAGGCATGTGGATAAACAAGAGAAATCGGTAAGTTTGCACACAACGATCCAAAACAATTTAATTTCCGATTATTGAAAACATGTTCAATTAGTATTAAGTGAATTTCGTTAAATAAAGAATAATTATTTATTTATTTTAAAATGCAAAATATAAACTAAGTTTAACTTAATAACTAAACTTAAACAGATTATACATATAAGGTTTACTAAATTAACTTTGCATTAAATTCACATGTGTCATGTAATTAAAAAAAAAAAGTAATTTTGACGGACCTAAGCGATGTGTTGTTTCTCGGGATTCAAACCTTTAACCTGTCGCGCACAATCATTTAGGCATAAAGGCAGCCGCGGCGGGAAAAAGAGAGATTATCGGCGTCAAGAATCACCGGCTATTTTCCAAATGCCTTAAATAGGGCGACAGCGCAACCTAAATAGATGTTAGGTACACTACATTTATCCCTTTTGTTTTTATCTTCTTTTGTTAAAAACAAAACTGGTATATTTAGATAAGAGAATAACGAAATTTTTGTGGCTTAAGCAGTAAAATTCTTTAAGGTATCCTTTACTTTTTCAGCCAACTACTTCTCGTAAAGAAAGGTGGCCCTAATGTGGCGATAAAGAACAACGAATTTACTGCGAACCGCCTGACAGGCATGACAGCTGCGTTCGTCTATGAGAATCGCCTGAAATATCCAAATTTGGTCGCAGCGGAAGCGGAACTCCTTGGCATACGGTGGGACAGCCAGGATCCTATTTTCTCCAACCTATATCTGGCAACTGTAAGCGGCACGGAACACTTCTACGAACAATTCTGCTTTTGGCCCTTGGTAGCCGCATTGAAGAAATTCCAGATGAAGAAGATTACCCTTGAACCCATCGTGAAGGTGGCAAGAATCAAGAATTCCGCTGGCGTTCGATACGGTGAGGAGATGTTGCGAAATATCACCGTTGCCGAGGTTTTGTGGTCCCACTTCAGTGTAGGTAAATATAATTTTAAGAAGATGCTGCGTTCGTTGCCCTCAGAGTTGAAAGTTATGTTTGGTTGAAAAATTATTCCTCAACATACAGGGTAATCAATTACTAGGTTTCTGCTGTATTCGTGTCATTATATTTTTACATGATTCTGCGGTTGCTGTATATTATTACAAGCTTTATTGAATAAACATTTTATTTGAACAACATGCTTTTACTTACAACCTAAACGTCACTCGTCTATCGTTCTCGTTATTTTTTTAGAAAATAATAACAAAAATAAATGTTTAAGCTTTTATTAAATTGAAAATAATCTAGTACATCGCGCAGACGCTTTAATATACTACGAGAAAATACACATCTTTCTATCAGTTGGCAAAATAAATCTAATATCATGTTTTATCAATTCAGTTCAAATAACTAGTTACTTATATTTTGTCGTACCGAATAATATCTATTAATTTCTAATAGTAATCTACTTATATGTACTATTTATAGACGAAGCGGAATCCAACTATTACACCGTTTAAATAAAAACGTATCGAATCTAGTCTAATCGAAAACACATACAGAAAACAATTCCATATACATTCAATCACTAAAGTTCAAGACTCTAGACGGTGTAAAAGATGGAAAGCTTTCGAATAACACTACCGACACGCGCAGTGAAATCGATGTAAGAATCTCTATATTAACAAATATTCTACGATATCAAAAGGACTAGTATGCCATAATAACGAAACACGCCAGGGTAACAAAAAATCCTTTCTAAAAAAATTTAAAATAATTTCTCGAAAATATCACACTTTTAAAAATACATCGTCGATTTAAAACAACTTGATTCTTTAATATACCTTGCAAGAAGCGTACCTTCACGTGACGTCGGCAAAGCTGGCACATGTTAAAATGCGAAAAATCATAATAATAGATAATGTAAGTACAAACTAAGTTATCATTAAGAATCTTTACACAATTTTATTAAAAATTAAGAGCCAAATTAAGTAACTGCTGTTCTTCAAAGTAACTTAATTGGAATAAAAATTGATATAAACTTATTTCTCAAGTATCGTTTCTCGGCATTTCTCATCAAAGTGCGAAAATCAATTCCCCGGTCATATGTATTTAATAACATTTTAATGTTTCCCCTAAACCCTTACTTTTAAAACATTACTAATGCCTTTGTATCAATATTTTTATACAATACGTATGAAATGATATTTGAAGATGGCTCAACATTGAAGTTGAATAATTCTATAGTGGATTACGTAATTACAGGGTAGAGAATAAAGCGCTGAAATTGATAGGTATTAAAAAAAGAAATAAAAGAAAGAAATAGTAATTAACGCTCAATGAACAAATAAATACGTTTCCAGGTTTATAGAATTAGCGAATTATTATTATAAATAAACAATGATTTTTAAATACTGATTTTTACACACGCTTAATAAACAGTTAGTCCAACACATTTACATAGTTGTGTAGTTGATCTCATAACAAATTTGAATAATATCGAACAAAATTGATGAGAAACACCCCGTCTTAAGTATTCTATGCGCCCCTAACAAAAGTTTGTGCATAATATATTTAACTGGTCATCGAATACTATGTCACACAGTATCTTTAGACTGTTCTAAATTATCATATTATACATTCGAAACTAATTAATGACTCATAGCGTAATTGCACAATATTATACAGAAATGATAATATCCATGTATCTCGCTAGAAGTGAATTTGCAAAACCCCCCCCTTCTCACATGCCACTTGGTCGATCCCGACTGCCCCCTTACCGTGACGTAATTTTTGGATAGACTCTTGGTATTTGCGGTCGTTGGACCCGCTAATGAGTGATGATAGTCGAGTGTAAACACTGCGGTACCACATGTCTATACGGTACGTTGTAGTCCTTGACAGTCCTAGCGGCGAGGCATTTGAGCGTGGTGTATTTGAGCGGGTTGACGATATGCCATAGCTTCTGGTTGGTCGTCACCAGCAACTCGGCCGGGGTGTTGCCTTCATAGTTGACCGTGTCTATATGGGCACCGTGTTCGAGCAGTTTTCGCACCACGTCAGCTGGGCAGGGATTCAGCTGGAGGAAGAAAGACGGTTTATTTATAAGGAGCTTTTCAGGTTTAACATTATGTTATTCATTCAAATCATTAGGTTATGTTTACATATAAATTTTAATTATAATTTTTCTGAAACATGTTAATTAAATGGATGGTAGGCCTATGGAAATTCCGTCCGGGTCACGAACCACCGTCCACAGATGATAAAAAGTTTAATCGCGTTTCTGTTTCTGTTGTCCAAATATCCAAAGCTAAAATAGGTCGATAGCGCATCTTGTGTAGTTGTTATAAGGCTGGGGTATTTCACCCCCCATTAAGTGAAGTCAAAGAAGTCTGTCCTACAACGCAGGCTTAAATATAAAACCTTTAAAAGTTTCAGTTAAAGTTATTTTTTATTTAAATGATATTTAAATTTTGCTCTCAAGTGCATAAATTATAGACAGTACTTAACAGGTAGTTTGTTATAAAAATCCCAAAAGCACAAGGCAGATCCTAAATTCCTTTCTTTGGATTATGATAAAACATTTCATTGTTTTTACGATACTCTAGATCGTTCCCTCTTGCGTGCGTGATGTGAGATATTTTAGTGTATATATAATCATCAATGCGATGCTTACCATGCAAGCGAGGTGAAGGGGCGTGTTACCCTCAGCATCGCGTGCGTCGGGTTCTGCTCCGAGACGTAGCATCAAACCGACGAGAGCGGGAGAAGGCGCTGGTTTCCCACCATCTACAAATTGGCTAGAACTGGTAGAACGAGCCGCTTCACCAGAACAGACTATGTGCAATGGAGTGCGACCTTGACGAACCTGTTGACAAAAAGTAATTCTAAGGATAGGGTAAAAACACAATATCCCTTTGGTATACCAGGATAAAGCAGAGAATTAATAGAAAATAAAATGGCCTCCAACTTCAATGTTGCTTTGTTCAATCTGAAACCCATACGCCCGAAACCGAAACGCGAATCTATGTTTTTTAGCTTATCTTTATGAGCGGAAAGTAAAGAGACGGCCGGCATTTCAATACATACGGTAAAGATTACGATCGTTACTTTTGAACTAAGATACATACAAGTACATTAGTTTGAATTTATCAGTATAAGTTTTATATGTAAATATATCATTAAGATCTTAATAAGTGAATTTAAGAGTGACTATAGACCAATGTACTACCTACACAGTTCTGTACAAGCAAACAATATCCAAACCAGAGCACAAATTATTTATGCAAAAATAATAACATTATCTTTGTTTGCTGGCATTCAAACCATTTTGGTGTAAATACCTTAATATCCAGCTTGACGAGTGTGTACACGGCCTTATGAATTTGCTTGACGGTTTCCGGCGAGATGTCGAGGTCGTCCAGCAGTTGCGCCAGCAGCGCAGCCAGGTGCAGCGCGATGATCATCACCGCCTGCATCGTGTGCAGCGTCACTTCGCGGTCCAGATTTAGCTTGCAATCCAGGAGTTGCACTCCGCGCTCCACTTCCGAGAGGGCCTTTTTAAACACGGGGTCAATGTCCTCGAACGTTACGGGGGGCACGATACGACCTGAGAATTACAAACATTTTATCAATAATATTTATTTATTTAACATATTTAATACACATTTATACCTTTACTACGTTACAAACTGGACTGATTCCAGTATATTTAATGAGTATTAGATTTAAAATTTACTGGAATTTGTATGTAAACAAATACTAAAATAATAATGTTTTATTTGTACAAGTGGAACACATATATAACGTGATCCCAAACTAGGCATTGCCTGTCTTATGGGAACCACTTCGAACCCGTAAGTAATAAAATCATAAAAAATATTACATTGAAATATTTTTAAACTTTATTACTGCATTGAATGGATATTTTTTCGATGTAATTGGATGTTTAATTTATACAATGCCATCATGTGCAACATTTGAAAAAAGAAAAGTTTTCAAACAGAAATGAATTTCTACCCTACAAAGCACTAGACATTAGCCCTTTATATGTAAGTGCTAAGGTTGAAATTACATTGGGTTGAAGAAATTCGACGTTGATGTGTGAGCCACGATAGTTCAATTGGTTGAAGGTTAAAATCGTCCCCGTGTCATCGAACATTTTCAATCAAGTATAAATTACCTCGTAATGGGGGGCGCGCTCTCTCTGCCAGCATATAGGAGAAGAGTTCCACAAAACTGTAGAGGCTGGACTGTGTAAGCGGTGAGAGAGGCGGAAGAACAGTGCGCTGCATATCCAGGGCGTGGTGCCAAAGTTGTCTGCACCGCAAAAAGCGACCAGCGTCCGCGTACACGGCGCCGCGGTATCGTACGTAGTAGGACGTGTCTGGGTGTGCTGGACCTGAAGAAAAGAGGAATAGATGATAATAGTAATAAATAGTTAAGATCTACAAATACTACAAACACATCGTATCATCGTCTTAAGCGCGAGGGATCCTATGATTCCCAAGAAAACTCAGTTTCGGTAGAGCCTTACAACAGACACAGATTTATATCTACTCTACCATTATGCAGAGGCTACAATCATTTCACTTTAAAGATAAGAAAAAATGGCAAAATTTGATCAATGCCCCTAATTTGAGTAGAAACAAAAATTATATTTAAATGTGTTTGTAGGTTAGTAATTAATTATTCGTCGTGAAATCCCGTTTCCCCTCGTTGGGCGAACATATTTTTGTGTCCGTTTTTATAGATTAAGAGACATAATATGTATACTGTATTGATTGAAATAAAAATATCAATTTAGTTGTACAATATGAAACTAGTGGCAAAGGTTGATATATGTTTTCTATACATTTTTAACAACTGTTTCCTAAATACTGTCTATAGTTTACGCGATTAGTACACATTCAAATAAAACACTTTAACGGTTTAAACAGCGATATATTATAATGAAGTTAAAAATCATTTTCAATAAGTTTCAACGAATATATCGCGTTTTAAACGGTTAAAGTGTTTTATTTAAACTGTTTCCTAACATATAATTTTTGTACCTAAAATCCTTTCTCTGATAACGAGTGCTTGCATCCTCATCGCGTCGGGATCTGCCAAGAGTTCTTCCAGCTCCTGTGCATCATTTGGCTCTACGGCGTAGTCATAAGCCTCTATGCAAGGAATGTCTTTAGGTTTTGATATCGGTTCACTTCCGTCTGTAGGAAATCTGGAAAAATTAAAAAAAAAAATACTTTTAAATGACGTTGAAATTGCAGGTTTTTATTATACAAGTAAGTTTCGGTAATAAAAAGAAAATTGTTTGGTCTTTGTGTTAGCTTGAGAAATGCTGATGTCGCAGTTATTGGTACACAGTTGATCGTTACATATCAAATCAAATTTAATCAAATGAATTTCCACAGACACAAAAATACAATAAAATAAACATCGTTGCATAATATGCTAAAAGTCTAACCTGTCGTCCATAGCTCGCTTCCACAGGGCAAGCGCACCCACCATGTCTCTTCTTTTGTCGACACACGTCGCTCCTAGAAGCTCCAACGCGTCGATGCGTTGTTGTCTCGATACGAGTCCATTTTCGTCGTTGATAAGGTGCTCGACTATATGCCTGTGGCCGGTTACTGCAGCGGCCAATAAGGGAGTCATACCTGAAAATGTAATAAAAGGGCTTTTTCAAGTATTCCATACTTTTGGCACATGTTATATGAACTGTGGCACTGTGGAGGTAAAAAAATTAAACAAATGAAATATAATAAGTGCTTGTATGAATGTTATGTGCGCACACACGCGAATTCAAATACGCGTATGTGGGATTCGTGATATACAATTAAATATAATGAAACTTAAACAATAATGAAACACTTTGAAATAGACAAAAACGTGAACTCTTTTAGTATATTTATGTATCTACGACCCAACATTGCGCTTTCTTACATGGATACTTGGTATATGGTTTTTTTGTTTAAAACTAAACTGAGTCGATCAATCAGTCTTCACAAGATCCCTGCACTAAGCGCACGGGTGAGGTGGAACCAAAAACTGTGACACCAACATTCTTTCTAATCAATGTTTCTACTTCTCTGGTACATGTTGAATTTCATCTGATTTCTATCTGAATATTCAATGGGTGGTAGAAATATCGAAATTCCGTCCGGGTCACAATTTAAAACCGGGTCTGTGGATTTCCGAATATCCAAAGCCAAAATTATCGAGGCTGGTGTATTTTACCTACCATCAAGTGAACTCCGAGTTGTCTTGTTGGTCCTCCTCCATCAATAAAAAAAGATCACCGTAGTATAGAATTCCAATATACTCACCGTAAGAGTCAACGTCCATACTAGCGCCGTGTAACAGTAGCATTTTTAGTATATGCAGCGAGCCACTCTCCGCGCAGTCGTGCAGCGCTGTGTTCCCCTTGACGCTCTTTCTGTTGACATCGGCCTTCAATGAGAGGAGGTACTTCGCGATCCTTATGTGGCCCTTGTAGCAGGCGATCATCAGACATGTGTGACCGTGCCGGTTTGGTATTTCTATATCTGAAATGGAGTGATAATAATACAATTTACAGCAGAAATAAAATAAAATAGAAATATATACTATATTTGTATTTTATTTTACTAAATGACTTATTTACATTAAAGAGATAGTTCAAAGGAGGCCTTATCGTCTTCCAGGCAACCTTTAATAACAGAGAAGAGAAATAAAGTAAAAGAGAAAATCAACAATGGTGGAAGAAAATATGCAATAAATTCTAACTTGCAAAGATATACCAAAGATTATCAAATAATTAATAACACAACAAAAATAGTAAAACTTAAGTTTAATTTATTTTAATCGTGAATATTCTTTTTAATATTATGTTGAATAAAACACTTTATACATTTTTTTTGCATCATTATAGTAGTAGGTAGTTGAAAATATTTATATATGACATATATTCCAATAATAATGTATTTTGTTTTCGATTTAAATGGCTGAATTTATTAAATCTTTATTTTTAAACAATCAGCTGGTTCCATTGTTTTTAAATCTCTTAATAAACCATTTGGATGGTAGGAAGGAATTTTATCAACATGGCTCTAAATTACTTTTAACTGTAGATATTGCGTTCTCAACGTACCTGCACCATTTTCTACTAGGAATTTAACGATATCATAGTGGCCGTCGAAGCAAGCCGCTCTGAGCGGTGTGCTGTGAGTCTTCGTGGTGGAGTTGACTTTCGCGCCAGCACGGACCAGCAGCCTCACGAGGGGTAGGTGACCAGCCGCCGCCGCACACCAGAGCGGCGGTGCACCTTCGATTGTTTCACCGTCGAATGTTACTGAAAACATATAACACTTAAGTTAATACTGGCGTCGTGGAAGTGTATTGTCTGAATGTATTTAAAATTTGTCATATAGGGAGTTATTAAGTAATTTATTCGTTTTTCGAGTGTTCAGTGGGAAAGTTATATCTTAGCCTTTCCAATTTCAGAGGAAGCTAGGATACCAGAAAACTATAGTATACTAGTATAGTTTTAACATAATATCTACTTTGTGAATTTGTAAATTTTAAGCTCTACGGAGAGACATTACATAAAATAAAATATACTTTATTCTCTTTAAGATTTTAAAAATTTAGATTCGTCAAAATGTCTGTCTGTCGTGATTCTTCAGTGTGTTCCAAAGAGCAACATGAGCGAGAAGAACACGCAAGAAACCTAGTAGTCCTCGAAAGACCATTAAATAACGATTTAAAAACAAGTGAATTAAATTTAAATACTAGACGTAGACTAACTGTGACTAATTACTAACTAGTAACAATTTGTTAGTTATTAAGCGTAAAGTCAGTCAATATATTAAGCATAATTAATTTATAGCTAAAATTAATGTTATAAATATTAACATGTGTGAATTTTAAATCTCTTCATAAATTTACATCTTTAAAGCATTAGGACGTTAAAATCAATGGTACATACTTCATTTGTACTTTCAGTAATTATGCACACAAGTTAGTTAAGAGACATACAAAAACCTTGTATTTGTTAGGTAGGTATCGAATCCAGGATCTCTTGTGCCTTATACTATCCTACGAAGGCGGTCAAGTTGTAGTCAATAGCTAAATTAAGGTGAGATGGACAGCAGCCAAACAGTGACGTTATCACTTCTCAGGTAGGTGATACAGTTGCTTAGATACAATTGGAACAATGACCCTAATGTCATATTGTTCTATTACCGAGAACACGAAATCAATAGATATTAATTTTATGTGCAAAAGATGACGTACGAAGTAATTGATTTATTGTGTACTAGCTTTGGCCCGCAACCGTAACCTTAAAATAAATAAATTGTAACCATTTCTTTATATACATTCCTTCAATGATTTGAGCGCAGAACGCAAGTGTAGAAACCATAGAGGAAAAATGTATACGGACATTTTGGATTCGCCGAGTGGTGGCATGGCCGGGTACCTTTCCGGATGTCCAAACTCGAAATACACGGCATTGTCGAAAGCAAATCAAGAAGGGGCTATTTGACTGATTTATAAAATGTACTTTATATTATTTGGTAGATGTTAAGGAACCCCAAAAAAGCAGTATTTTTGGATTCGGAAACATATTTGCTGAAATTTAAATTGCACTCCTAAACGGTTACTTTGAAATAATTATTGTGTATGTCGATCATATGATCTAAAACCTACATGCATTTGTACCAAACCTATAGAACGGCTATAACACTAGGAAGCACGGCGGTTTATAAGACTGTTTATAAGCAAGTGACGTCATAAACCTGACCAATGAGAAGTGTTTTGTGTCACGTGACAAATGTTTAAAGAAGTTAATTTTATCTTGCGGATTTTTATATTAAACCAATTTTTAACATATATGTGACCGTTTTACCATTTTTAAACTTATACTTACTTAATATTGATAACAGTAATTGACGTTATATTTTTCGCATTGTCAAATAGCCCATTGGGAGTTATAGAATGGAGAGGCATAGGCCTGTAATCTTTCTTGTCTGTCTTCTCTCGTTAAGGTAAACTCACCTGCACCAGGTTGTTCGATATCTGCTTTACATCTCTCTATGAGGTATTCGGCTACGTCGTAGTGTCCGTTGCGGCACGCTATGACAAGTGGCGTAGCACCGTGGACCTTAGCACGTACCAACATCTTCAGCTTGTCTGAGCGAAAACCGTGCAAGTAAACCTGGAAAAAGAAAACGCTCTTTTAGTAATCTAAAATAAATATGCGCAGACGCTGCAATGGTTGACATGTTTTGTCCCATCACGAATGGACGGCATTTGCAGAAGATGTACTTTCAGTTTGGACTCATCTATGTTTAACTAATCACAATATTACTGCACTTTTATTTATTATAAGAGACCTTTTTTACAACATACATGACTATTATAGTATATGTATACAGTAGCTGACGTGGCAAACGTTTTGTCATATAATCAAGTATTTCTAGGGATTACATTATAGGAAGTTACTGAAACGAACTATTAAACATAGAGGCTGAGTGATAGAAGGGCGTGAATTTAGGGTTGTATGTTTAATGACATTATACAATATAAATTAAAAAAATAATAAAAGTAGTAAAAGGAGTGAGTTTAAGAATCTATTTATCATTTAGGTGTATAAAGAATAGATAGTAACAGATTGAGAGACCTACGTGCATTCAGCACTTCAAATGTAGAAAATTGATCGAGCCGCTTCGGAGGAGTATGGTAACTAATTCTATGACATGAGAATTGTATATATTAGATGCAATAAAATACCAAGAGCACTGATAAGCTCAACACACACCTCTATTTATCTTATCTTTATCTGTTAAATAAAGCCCTCCATTTGAATAGAACTTTCTTTGGAAACCACTCTCTGTCCATCTTAAATTATTGTTATTCAAATTCTATCAAACATCGAACAGATATAATCAAAAGAGAAATCGGTGACCTGCCTAATGGCGCCGGTTGGCTTGCTCCGTGCTCGGCAAACTGTGTCGCAACGGCTTGCAACATGTTAAGCTGCTTTCAGACTATGATTATATATAGCACATAGTTCATACATTGAAGTCAAAATAAACATATATATATATTGTTATATAGTGGCATCATGCGCAAAACAATATAAATAACATGTGAAAAATATTAAACTTTTCAAACGTCAAACTTTGCAATTTAATCTTCAATGATTTCAAGCTGCAAAGCAAGAATATTGAACCTTCACAAGCAAGTGTTAAGGTTGACATTACAATGCGAGAGAGGTGCAAGTATCAATAGGTTGAAAAAATTCGACGATGACGGTAGCACAATTGGTTAGAGCACGTGCACGAGCAAGTCCAGCCGTGTGGTAAATGTTTCAAGCTAAAATCTATATTGTAAGCGACTTGAACTAAGCCATGAAGACATACAGACAAAACAATATAGACCTCAATTAAGAATGTACACGTTCTACATATTGCTATAATATATACAGTCGCGTACTATAAACGCGAGCGCGATATTGTGGTATAATATGCTATTGCGTTGTCTGAAAAGAGCTTTACGATCAACGGGACGCGCCGTCTAACGATATTCATTACAACTTGTGGCTATTCCAATGATTCATACGATGCTAAAATAAATACAGTTTTACTTATCATTGATATAGGGAAAATGTTACTAAATATTATATTGTGCGGTGTAATTTTAATGAAATAGTTTTTTAAATGAGATTAGTAGACCCAATTATATAGCTGAACATAGCAACATTTTACATTATATAACTGACGTTTCCTTACTATTGTGCTGGTTAGAGCTTTCGTCCTATAAAAAACAAATATAGTTTGATTTCAAAACCATAATATCTGAGCACATGACGGCATTGTATAAATTAAAATCTATTTTAGATTTAAAAAAAATTACGACACGGGCGTGTCTTGTACCAGCATCCGCAGCGTTTGGTCCTGTTGCTCTGCAGAGCAATATCACGGGACGCAGTCTAGTTTTAGTGGTATAGTTATATTTGACAAAATTAAGCAACACACAGTCCATGGATGACCCAAAAAGAAAAATAAAAGATGCATTTATAATTATTTTTTCTATCTGTAGTTTACGCTAGTAGTACACACATTTATATTAAACACTTTAATAGTTTAAAATGCGATATATTGTAGTTAAAATTATTTTAACTACGGCCCGACGTTTCGAATGCTTTACAGAAGCCGTAGTCACGTTGTTTTATTTAGCTTATTATTGTGAGTACGATTTTTTTTATTATTTGTTTGATTACATATTTCTAAGTTTGTTGTGCGTTCATTGCGTACAGGGAATTTTATCTTTATATGTACTAATTATATTTACAGAGTAACGCGTACTTACAATCACAACACAATTCGAAGTTACTTAATTCCTTCAATTGCTATTTCTGGCATCTCAGAAATACTCGACATCCAGAGCACTTCGCGAAAGAAACTGAACAGTTTCACAGGAACGGCGACTTAAATAAAGTGCCCTTAGGGAGGATTTCGACACTCATTGTCTCGTACAGAGAACAATTATTTTATTTCATTGTATACTGAGTTCAATAACGCGAATTAACATAATTGAAATGCAAGACAATAATATAGGTCGCGAGGTATTCAGGTCGAAGCAGTGTACCTACTGAGTCCGATATGCTATCACCTGGTGGAAGTTGGTACGTGAGTTAAATATATAAAAGTAAGAAAATTAACAATAAAAAGAGCTATAGTCTTCAAACCAATAATAAATGTTGTTTTATTTTTTAAGGTTTATTTCATAATTTAACTTAATTACAAAATTTTCTTTAGATAGCCGTGCTTTAGGGATAACGTGGTAAATCGCACTACAGAACTCGATGCTACGAACTAACGGCTGACCAGAAGCGCGTTCCAAACGTTTTACTAAACAAACCACTGTCAGCTTGGTACTTGGCCCACTTATACTTAAGTTTAACTTGGACAGAAGTTTGTTTTATTCTTTTACATACATACTACGCGAATAAAACTAAATATTAGCGGAACCGTGAAACCGTCCTTGCCGTCGAGGACATTCCTCGTTTCGCGTACTCACTCGGGTGGGTATCCGTCCAGCTCAAGCCCCACCCACATTACGGTAGTCTAAGCCGATTCTGAAGCCACCTTCGGGGCACCTCGTCTTGGTCCGGTTCTAGCTATACTAATATAAAAAGCTGAAGAGTTTGTTTGTTTGAACGTGCTAATCTCCGAAACTACGGGTTCGAATCGAAAAATTAGAATTTTGTGTTGGTTAGTCGTCGTGGGTAACCAGCTAAATTTATAAAGATGCAAAAGGGGTTTGCAAAAACGAATATGGATACCCAAAATAAATATTCTTAGCGGAGATCTTAGCGAAGACGTTGACACAGCTAGTCGGATATAAGACTATTCTAGTAAAAAATCTAGTAAATATCCATTTACATTTTTTCAATTCTATGTCTTCGTAGAATCTGTTTGAAAATGGATTCAACGCGAGCAAAGCCGCGTGTAAACACCAGTCAAGGAATAGATCTGTGTCAATGACCCGCCGCAACTCTAGACGACAGCAATGCAACGATTTACGTAATACGAAGTACTTGTGATAAAATTAATATGACCTTTTTCTTTATTGGATTTCCTGTATTAAACGTAAATAGGGTTTTGGTGATACGATACGAAAATAAATTGTTTACTATTACGCAACATTTTAAAATGCTGTTGTGGCCTAACTGCGTCGGATTCTTTGCTTACCAGAATTAACGCACGTTAAAAGTATGAAGTTTTTAGGATGAATATTGGGCCGGACCCGAATGGGGCCTTAAACTTGACATTAACAGCGAAGACTGATAATAATTATAAGTCGTCGTTTTTATAACCTTATTAAAGTAATCGTTTCGAGGACAAGGTTAACAACCTAACAGATAATGTAAGTAATATGTAAATTGATATTTTTTCAAATGTATAGGAAGCAATTCGACGGAGCAAAGTGTTCGAAATATAAGTTATTTGCGGAGCGTATGTTGCTATTAGTATTATTACTATGCAAGGAACATATTTTAGTAATGCTTAGCCCCTACGATTTCTAGTACATTTCAGAATAGTATTAATTTAGATTTAACCGGTTTAATTAAAACTATACGTCATCAAAAGTTAACTGTTTACATTTGTGCAATCTTATGTTCTCTGTGGGGCTTGGGGAGAACACATTGCTTTAATGCATCAGACCGAAACAAATTTTTGGTTCTCCGGTATTCGAACGGAGACGGTTAAATTTCATTGTTTAAACACTGATTTGGATTCTTCGTTTAAATAAAACACCGTGAAAAAGACTATCAATAGTGTACATTGCGAAAGACGTGCACCCAAAAGCATATTACTCGTAGGGAGGTAGTATAATAGTTAGTTAGTTAATTAAGTTATGGGTTTGAGTCCTATTTGTGACATTGTATTTTATTCTATTTCAAATTATATCTAAAGTAAACCGCTTAAAAACGTTACTATATTTAAATAAAACACTTTAACGGTTTAAAACGCGATATAATAGTTATTTGAAAAGGATTTTTAACGTCGGGCTAAAGTTAAAAATCATTTTCAAATAAGTTTAACAAATATATCGCGTTTTAAACCCTTAAAGTGTTTTATTTAAATGTGTACTACTCGCGTAAACTTTAGACGTTACTAAGTATATAAAATTATATAGTATATAGACTTGTCCCAAAAACTATAACTTCAACCGGGTACCTTTCTTATCCTCCTCAACAACCTTTGCTGGCGTCGTAGGAAAGTCTTGCCGCATCGACGTAACCTCTCAATCCACTTGCACCTAGTTGGCATCAGATCCATCAAGTCCCAAACCCCACTTGACATGTTCGCTCACTGAATTCACCCTCGGGCGGCCCTTTTCATACTAGACACGTTCTTTTCACAGCTTAATTAAGATCTACTTTCGATGATGACTCGAAATTATTGTACCCGATAGCTATATCAATTAGTGGCGATCTCTCTTAAATTGCCTGTTACAGTACAAGACAATCAATAGTCCACTAATCCCAAATACAGTGCTTAGCGATGACGTTTGGATAGTTCGAGACTTAAGCAGAGAATGTTACTTAGAGATAGTACTTGAAAAAAGTGGCGCGAATAGTCAAATAGCGAATTTATTAAAAAAAATCTCGAAGCTGAAGGCGGAGTGTATATTAAAATTTACTACCTGTAGTTTACACTGACATTTAAGTTAAACACTTAACGGTTCAGAACACGATTATATATATTGTATATATTAAAAAACAAAAGAAAACCATCCGAAATATTGAATGAAAAAGGTCTTAACACACTTAAACTTATATATTATATATTTAATAAGTTTAACTAATATATCGCGTTTTAAACCGTTAAAGTGTTTTATTTAAACACTTAAAAGTGTTATTTCAAAATTGAAACGCTTATGTATACAGACAATTGTAATATGTATAAGTATCTTAAAAATGTATGCATTTGTAATCGCTGTAATTTTATAAACTATATATCTCCTGTTCCTAAAAGTAATTAGCATACTGTATTGTTTTAAAAGTTCAAGGCTGAGTTATTGTAAAGAAATTCCATGTTAGTTCTCTACGAATAAACTTCTGTCATAGAAAACTCTTAGAAACGCGAATACTTTTATTTTTGGCAAACTAAACGTGTTAATATGCATATTATATTAGTGACGATAAAAATAGATAATACATGCTTTCAAGGTTTAGTGTAAAATAATTATACTTTTATTATATATTATTTAAATATAAAATTCCGCGTTTATATAAAAGTTTATCCATCAAGTTGAACAAAAATATTTTTCCAAAGAAAAGTTTTAAAGGTTTCGAGTGAAAAACGTGTTCATAATGAGTTACGAGTCACGTTTCGTTTGAAAATACGACCTTAATGACAAATTAGGTTTTCCTCCAAAGAAAAATCTATTTTCATCTTTGTAAGTACAATATTGTATTGAATATTGTAAAATCTATCATGCTTCGTTGAAAAGTCGAATGAGGTTAATTTTTATAGGTAAAATTATTTATAGTTTTGAATCTAGTCAAATCACTTTTTATCTCATTCAAGTCCTAATAGATAAGGATAAATAACAATTATTATTGGTTGTCTCAACATTGAGACCTTCAAAGCATTATTATTGGTAAATAAACATGAATTATTGTTGCCGTTTCGTGATTCGCGTCATCACTTGAGCCAAATATTGGTAGGCACTTGAAAACATTACGTAAAGTGCCTTGTAAATACTCCTTGTTTGCTTGTTAACGAATAACGAGTAATTAAGACGGAAATAACACTTGTTAGTTAGTTAGTTTAGCAATTGGCCAATATTAACAATGAATTAGCAGGGAGGCTGAAAACTATAGATTTAAATAAATGACAGGCTCGTTTGTAATGATAGGAAATAAATAATTAATGAATCTTGGGTTCGATCCCCACCGTAATTTTACTGACACGTTCGTCTGGAAATCTGGATATCAAATGGGTGGTAGGAATATCGAAATTCCATCCGATTCACGAACCACCATCCACAGCTGCTGAAGTTTCGAATTTCAGTTTTCAGTCAGCTAATTTTAGAATATTCAGAGCTCATATTGTACGTCATATGGTATTTCACCTTCCATCAAGAGAAGCCCATGCTTCTCTGTTCTCCTCTATCACAAAAAAAATATATGTGTGTTGTGATAATTTATTCTTCTCAAATTTTATGGCGTAAATGACAAATGATGCTGTCTCAAATAATGGTTGCTAACCAAATAGAATTGCTTGCGACGAAGCCACATTAATATTATTAATGTTTCTACACTTCCTTGCTTTATTTAAATAGCAAATTAATCATAAAATATAATAAGTTCCTTAAATATAGCATCCTTCTCTACTTGTTTTGAATGGTTTATGATACCTGAAGACTACTTTTCTCAGTCGTAATTTAAATAAGTAATTCAATATTCAAAATCAATCATTATGATAAAAATGTAGATATGGCTTACACGACCGAAAGTTAAAAATATATAGTTTCAAAATGTGAGATAGTACGCTAGTAAACTCATAGATGTAAATAACTACCAATAGATTTTCTTATGTGATTTAGCTCTAGGAACTTAAAACAGAAATTTTAATTAGTCTTACACCGTTTTAGTAATGGTAAACAAACCACATTTCGATCGTTAGGGAGACTTAACTTTATGATTTAAAATTAAACCTAATTAGGAAAAGTATTAAAAACCAATTTAAAACAATATAATACATACAGTATAAACTGTTTAGCAAAGAATGTAGTTTAGAGGTATTGGAAATGACAGCAAAAAGCGAATCTACATGCAGTTACTCGATACACAGCTTGTTTATGGTCGAGTAAGTAGGATTTTTCACTTTCTAGCCGATCGTGCTCGTGATATCACTGTAATAATAATTGCTTTATCATTAAAACTATATAATAAACTACTGTTGAGCTACATCTGTACATTTGCCATCCAGTACGTCATAAATTCATGCATACACTAATAACTGTATTCGGGATATTTAACGGCGCGATGTCTAACGCGATATTATACACGGCACACAAAAATGTTCACTAGTACGGTTTATTTTACCGCAGTGTCGGGTCGCGGGCAACCAACCGCGTCCACGGCGAGTGCAACACTGCAGGCCGCTGAGCCTCTTTCACTCCGGTTACACAAGATAATTACGTAATTTTCTTTTGCCTTTCCATCGCGGTTTATGCGTGTCGCGATGTCGATTCCCCGATGCGTACGGTAAATCCACGGTGAAAACCCCCTGATCTTATACATCGTGAATATATTTTATATCACAGTTTTTCACGGTCATAACACACTCCTTCTTATTGCTTCTCTTTTTTTCTCCTTACTGTACCCGGATCGGGCTGGGTGACAGGCACTCATCAACACAATTAAGACTGGTCTGTCTGTTTGAACGCGCTAATCTCAAGAAGTACTAAATCGTTCGAATCGTAAAACGATATTATGTGTTATTTAGATAATTTAACGAGGAAAGGCTTTAAGCTATAAAACATCACGCTGCGACCAAAAGAGCTAAGCTAGGAGCTAAGGAAGAGTGTGAAATGTGGAATACACGGGGAAATAGTTCACCTTTGAGAGTTTCTGTTGCTTGCGCTGAGAAAACAATTCAGGATACCGAAGAAATATTAGATTTTATATTCAAATAGGCATTTTATAGTATAAAAAGCATTGCATGCATTACAATATTCATATTTCAAATGGAACGGAAGCAACTATGATATAAAAACCAAGGCTGTAAAGCTACTAAAACGTCGGGTCGTAATTAAAAATATGTCACAATAGTACATTCAACAGCTTTCCATTTTGATAACATACAGGAACACAACCGCTTACCACAAGGCATCATTAAAAAGACAATAAGAATTATTAATCAGAAAACAGTTCGAAAAACCATATGATTTACCTTAATGTCAACTTTCATTTGCACTTCACAGAAACGCACCTAATTTAACAGTATAACGCAAAAATATACTTTTGTATACAGCACAGGAACTTTCTCATTTTTTGCATATTTGTGGCGATTTCAGTAAAATTGAAACCTACTTTATGATAAGGCCTGAATTTGTCTTGTGATAATAGCGAGTTAGTACACATTTAGGGCGTTTTTCCACCGAAGATGTGCTATGCTCCTATTCTGCAAAGAAGCGAAATCTTCACTACCAAAATATTTAACCGTTTCCACCAATACTACGCTAGGTAGATATGCGAAGATGCGCTGACGCATGGTATAGTGCGAGAAGGATGGACATTTCGAGCTATGCTATTGTATTGATATAAGAGAAAAACGGCAGGGCCCATAGCAGGTATTTATATCAAGCAACCATAATACGCATCTACAAGACACATCAATTGCATGCATCAATCTATTAAAAAATATATTTTAATCCGTTTCCACCAGTGCTAAGCTATGTGAATACCAATGAATTTGAACGGTGGATATCAAACGCATTCGTAGGATCTTAGCATAGCACATCTCTGGCGGATAAGCGCCCTTAACAATCTTATTCGTTTAAACCCGTTAAAACTTTTAAAAAACCTCTAAAAAAATTGTGGATATGGCAATGACAAACCACGTTTCAGTTTTCTTCGTAAGTAAATTTTTAACACAAAACCTTCAAGAAAACGAACTTCTATTTTTATATAGCAAAGTAGATAATCGTATATTATATGTGGAATGAAATTTCGGTGAGAAGTTATAATTTTTTATTAATATTGTACTTCGATACAGAGTTACCAACTTGAGATAGTTTGGTAACCCAGTAATAATTTCTATACAATATAAGTTTCCTGTTTTGATGTAAATATAATAATCATATTTTTACTTTTTAGGGTTTTAAGTGCTTTGATATTGTATTGATATTGTAGAATTATACCAATAGGATTTTTTTAATTTTGACTGCCGCAGTATGTCAATGAAATGCATTTTTACGGGAGATCTTCGGTTCGAATCTTGGGAAAACAGTTATAGGCGTCACGTGGAACAAAAGCTATTTTTTGTGGAACTCGAGTATTTTCAGTGTGTATTAATAGAGTTACATTACAACTTAAATATATATAGCAAATTGTCATTTAGGTGTGTAATATATTTTAAGTTACATTTCCATTTAGGAAGTTAGGCATAGGAAATTACACAATTTCTATTGCAGTCGCCTATAAGTTACAGCTGTAGCCTATTTTATCAAAACGAAAGTTGAAACATTAGCAATACTCAAAGCAGGCCCTTTCACAATTCTAACCGACTGTAGATGGACCAATTTTAAACTAATAATACATTTATTACTAAATTAAGTAAGGCTTTCA